TTTATTGCAGGATAATGTAATTACACACAGTAAAATCTCAGCTGAGTATGAGGGCTAAGAAGAAGAATAAGAAGAAGGTGCCAATCCAAGTCCACACAAAACAAAATCTAAATTTTTTATAACAAAAAAATAAGTTTAGAGTGGACTCTTGTCCTCTGGCAGCTGTAACCTTTTGACAGTCTTAATAAAACATGGAAAACATTTTTTTCCATCGCTCAATTTGAAGCGGAATTTGGAAAAAATTCATGTTTGTGCCTTTATAGAGCTTTTTAATAGTAAATTCTCTGCAGATGAAATTCAGAAAATCAATATATATTTTTTTTATTTATTCTGTATTCTCACAATCATTTTTAGCCCTGTTGGTATCTTTTCTGTATCTATACAGCAAGTGTTATCCTCTGAGAACTGACAAGGCTGTCAATAAAAAACAAACAAATGAATAACTAAGAAAATAGAAGGAAGCCCTGATTGATAACTTCAACCTCAGCTGAAATTTATTCACAGGGACAAGCCCAATTTTCAGGGGAAAGGTGTGCTTGAGCCAGATGACACAAAGATTTTGGTCATGGACAAGGAGAAGAATCTTTAGAGATTTTTACCTTAAAGCTTTACAAGAAGCTAAGAAAACACATTCCACTCCCAAGCATGGTGATGGTAGCATCACAATGAGGTTCTGTTGCTTGTGGGACATTAAATATCCTGGATGCAAATAATAATCTACAACCGTATTCAGTAATTCCAGATTCTAAATCTCCCTCTGGAATTAGCTGCTATGGTTAAAATGGTATTAAGCGTTTTCAGTGGCATAACGACACAACAATAGGCCCGTAAGCAACATTATCTGGGTGGGACCCATATGAAGTACAACACCCCATCCCCTACCCGCCCCCCGGTCGCTAACACATGGTACGTAATGGTTATGGTTTTAATCTACGATCTGGACTACCCATAATTCCAAGTTGTATTATAAAAGATAAAATACTCAAATACATCATTCTTTTAAGATCTTTATTGCAGTTTGAAACATATTATATAAGTGTATTTTTACCAACCGCCCTAATGAACTATACAAAGTTATTAACATAGTAATTTAAAGTACCACTGTCTGCTTTGCTATTGGTGTCGTGTTTAAACGACTCACCTTGATGTTGAAATCTGGCATGTGTTGGGGTACAAATAAGGTCCGGTCAATCAATCTAGCATCAGGTGGGTTTAAGAGGAATTTCTCTCACCATTACATCTGCAAAGAACCGTCCACAATTCGGGCTCCTAAGAGGTTGGGGGCCCCTAAACAACTGCAGTCTCTGCTTACCAATAGTTACGCCATTGAGTGTTCTAACAATTAAATCATCCCAGTTATAGATTAAGTCTGCTTTTGAAGAGGATAAACTATAAGACTATCAAAATGGTTTATAATGAGCCGTAACATTTATTTTCAGGAAGAATGCCTGTTTAAATCATCTTTATTTATTCATGATTCAGTTTAAACTAATTGAGTTCCATATTTTCTCTACTTTTGCTGCTATTTGTCTATCAAAATGGACATTAATTGAAACTGGTGAGTTCTCCTTTGCACCTTGCTCAAGGGCACGCAAGCAGAATGAAAAGAGGACAGAGAGTTAATGGAGTTAGAGGACAGGAAACCTAATATGCATCCTGTATCCTGATACCTGATCATTGTAAAATAAATATAATACACCTGCCTGACTAAGCGAGGTTACTAAACGCCGTTTGATCCTCCTTGGCAACGCTGATGTTATAGTTTGATGGGGTGCAGGATTGGTCAACAGCGCTGACCGCGCCCTCAACCCTTATAAGCTACCTGCTAAACTATTACCATCAAGTGTCGAGGGAAGGGAGGAGGGGGGAGGATGTGCTGCTGCTGCCCTCAGTGCGGCGGAGGAGAGAAAGCATCTTTGTCTGCACAGAGCAGAACAGCTCTGCTGGGCTTCCCTGCCTGCTTTCATCCTCACAGCAACATCCAAACATAAGGGAGACTCTCTGAAAACAGGGGGATTCATCTGCCGCATTCATCTCTGCTGAAAATTTCGGACTTTTTCCTCCTCTATCTTCCTTTCCCTCTCTCCTTTCTCTCTCTCTCTCCATTGTGCTTTCCTTTTTTTGTTTTTGTTGCCTGGCTGGAATAATCCACCCCTCCTCTGTATCCATGTGTCAGAGCGCTGGATGATGCGCAGGTAAATGACACCGCGCGCCTCCTACACATAAACGACCTTACGGACGGAGGTAATAGCTTTTTTATTTTTTAAAAGCGTGCCGCAGCGGAAAGCCACATTATACATGCTGTGAATGTGTGTTTAAAGCTTCGAGGCTGTGTTTTTTTTTTCCTTTCTATGTCAGTGAATTGTTTTCTGTTTCTATTCGTGATCTGCTGCTCTCATTTACTTATTTCTTTTGAAGATATCAGTCAATGCAGGTTTTTATGTTTTTAGATTTCTGCATGCGTTTACAGTCAGCTCAATGGGATGGAAGAGGAGAGAGGTATGGTTTCTGAATCCCAGCACGGTTTTTTTTGCGGATGAGGTCGCCTAATTGCGTGCCGGAAGACATGCCCCGTGGTTAGGCTGTGCACGCGCCACATACTGAGGGGGCTTTTCCTTTGGATTGGTACAGAAAACTGCAATGATTTCACCACATGCCACATGCCAGGACGGCTGGTGAAGAGGCTGAATATTTGATGAAAAATGGGGGGAGAAAAGTGAAGTTGAGGTGGTCTTTGAGTCATGCAGCAGGCAGGGCCCATGTCTGTAAAATGCTCGAGGAAGCCTATTTATTATTGAGAGGGATTCTGTTTTGTGCCAGAGGAGAAGCCAGCTTAAATAAAAAGAGAATGAGTGAGAAAGGGGTGGAACACTTGCAGCCCATTCGGCTCTAAACAAAATATGAAAAAAAAAGTTGGGAAAAGGAAAATAAAATTTACTAAAGCATATATGCTACAAAAAAAATCTAATTGTTAAATTACATTTTTTAGCTTTGGTTCAAATCAGAGGTGTAGCCAGAACATTTTTATAAGTGTGGCATGGCAATAACAGTCGGGATTGGGCTGAGGTTTGTGGATCCAAATGCAGAGGCAGGAAGGCAGAGATGAGTTTTTTGTAGATTTAATGCGAGGTAAACAAACAAAATCCAACAAGAAAAAAGTTAAACAAATCAGAAACCATGGGAACATCAGGGGAAAACAATCATGACGAGGTAAGACACATTAAGACGGTGTAGGTCAAAGTTTGACAAGGAACCAGCCACTGAGGAACTGCATAAGGAGTGTATTTATGGGAGACTGAACAAAGAGAGGACTAACGAGCAGATTGGGAGCAGGTGTGAACAGAGCAGACAGGAAAGGAGGTAGGGAAAAAGGAGAGGTAGCAGAGGGCAACAAATAAAAACCTGAAAAATAACCAGAGAACACAACAAAATAAGAATTAAACCACTAAAACTAGAAAACATGGAACAAAATAAAACTGAAAACTAAAAAGAAAACATAACAGAAACAAGACTGTGACAATAACCAAAGTACACTGAAGGGTGTCCAAAAGCAGATCAGAACCAGAACCTTAGGGTCAATCTATACTGATCCAACAGGAAAATGAACAACCACAACATCCATATTTTCCAAATAAAGACAAACTATACTTTCCTACAGTCTTTGCTAACAAATAGAGGCATATATTTAAAAATCCATCTAGATAAAAGGTATAGTGGATAAAGTTCTTTCAGGTTTGAGTTCTTTTCCATTGTCATTACTTACCTACCTTTATCAATAATCATTCTGCATAAAATTGATATTTAAAAGGACTAATATTTACAAAAATTGTTTAGTTACTACTGCTACTACTTTCTATTAGAATAGTTATTTATCTATGATTTAACTGAAGACTTGCAGTTTCTCTTTACCCCATAACACAAAATCTAGTTCTGAAAAGAGCATTAATTCTGTAGTTATTATCTGTAATGTTAGTATATTGATATGTATAATTAACCACAGCATTTTGTTGTCAAGTATTTGTTAATCTATGAAAAATTAAAATGTTTTAAATATTGAGAATATTACTGTAGTATCACTTGAGAGTATTACTGCTGCCACTGTCTGTATTATGGAGGAAAAACGCAATGATTGGGTAAAGGTGGCCATGACCACCCCCGGCCCCCCCTCTAGCTCCGCCCCTGGTTCAATTTACCGCACGTGCTCTATCTTCTTTAAAAGACATTTGTCTTGTGGATGAGGTTGCCTCATTCTCAGTTCATATTTACAGCCCTGCACATTATAACTAGATTATTGTGACTGAGCAAAGGGGAACAGCTTATTTAATCACCACCTATTGTTTAGTGGAAGGCACAAATTGCCATGGTGCACTATTTGGAAGATACTTTCCTACTCGCTGGTGTTTGTTTGGTGTGGCGTATTTGCGTCTTTGTTTCTTCATTGCAACGGTAGTAACTCTGATCACAGCTTGAGTTTCCCCCTTAATAATTAGATTAATTTATCCCAAAACTGAGGGGAGGTGCCCAAGGGTGCTGCTGCCGCTCATTTCACATGGAGTGTGGCTGCCCTCCTTACACCTCCTGCAAACCAATTTGCTTTGCAAATTCAGCTCCACCTGTCATCTGATGCATACTTTTACTTGTCTTTGTCGTTGGTGGATCAGTACATCCAGCTTAAGATAGTTGGGTTCATAAGAACAATTATCAGACAATAATATTTCGGGAAGGAACCTTTTCCCTAATCAGGGTTGGAAATTGAACATGCTTCTTTTTATTGACAAATGTGCTTTTGTAAATTTCTGTTCAGTGTAAAATCAACTTCTCATTTTATTTTAGTTTAGAGGAATTTAGGAATTCTAGTTTTTCAACTAGTGGCCATTAAAATGAAAGGAGAAAAGAAAAGTTTAAAAGGATATGCTAATTGTGGCATTCTTAGCAGTTAATACTCACTAGCTGTATTTTTATTATGCTTTCTCTGGCTGGTTTTTCTTCTTCTTTCTTAAAAGAGTGTTAAAAAGCTGCTATACAAATAATAATTTTTAAATTTATTTAGACTTTTTTAATGCTTTTGTAAACAAGAGTTGTTGTTCAGCACAATTCTTTTTTTTGTGGCTTTTTTTGCTGAGCCAACATAACATAACATCTGGTTACACTCTTATGTGGTTCACTCATAATCAAATCAGAAACAGTTTGGATCAATTTAATCCCACACAAACTGTGTTATGGCCCTTTAAATTAGCACCCAAAGGAAGCTCAGAAGCATATGGTAGATCATTCATCACTGGTGGCTTATTGATTTTCAGGTGCGGTAGTCTCACAGTGCTTACAAATCATTTGTATCTTGCCTTGAACTCTCTAACCATTTCCACCGTGCACCTGAATGCTACCTGATTTAGAAAAAAAAAAACGGAAAGGAGAGCTTCTTTAATGGTTTTTCAAGCAGGATTTGTTCCGCTAGTAGTCCAAACAGGATCCTTTCTTAGTGGACTCTGCCACCACAAGTAAAATCAAGAACTGCTTCCTTGCTCACTTAAAGAAAACTCTCTATTATACCGTAGATATAAGTGATTTATCAAGATTTAATAAAGCCTCAGACAGTTAAAGTTTGAAATCCAGTACTGCTGTTCATTCCCCACCTGTTGCTGCAATTGGTTGGTGGAAAAAAGGGCCTCGATCTTGTAGAAATATTTCGAGTTTTAAAAAGAATGGAATCTCTTTGCAAAGAACTGAGGCTTGAATAAGATCAAAAGAATTGTTATTGATGAAAAAATATTACAGTTGCAATAACAAATGAGTTACAATATTTCAGCAGGGCTGATGTTCTTTTTTTTACATAAAAAAACAAAAGTTTAAAGTTTTTCATAAAAAAAATATTTTTGGTCAAACTGTGATATTTTTCCTCAAGGTTACTGTACCATTGCTTTCTCATTAGTGCCTGTGCCTTGTGAATACCTGAAGTCAAGAGTAAAGTGTTATCCTTCATATCCAGGGTTCATGATAATAGCTTACAGTTTCCTCACTAGATAAGGTCATATCTGCCAGCAACTAGATCGCGCTTCAGGTGACAGACTTCACTTAACTTTGACGAGAAATATCATGGTGTTTCGCTACTGCGAGGTCATCAGCTTCCATTGAATACCAGGACCAAAATAAATGGTTTTTACAAAGAGAGAATAGTGTAGTTGACCTCGATTATGTGACTTCTGCATGCAATCTGTCAGCACCTCATCTCAAGACAGCACAATTCTCCCCTTAACACTTTTAAATATATGGTGCCGGAGCAGACATACCTGATTAAATTCGGTTTTAGAAAATGCAACTCGGTTTCTTAAACAGGAACTGCTTGAAAAGAAAAGGAGTTGCGAGTTGCAGATATCATAAAGGTTTAGCAATAAAGGAATTTTCAGATTTAAATTAACTTTAATCTTTTAGCAGAGTATTTCTTTTTTTTGTTTATTTGTTCTGTTGCATGTAGAATTTTGTTGGATGTGCCAGTCAATTTTTCTGTTATTCCATTGCTTCCTTTGGGGGTGGGTTGTCTGTTCTATGGTGCAGAGGGTAGCACTGCAGCCTTAGCAAGAAGATTCTGCATTCGATTCTCGGCCCGGGGTATTTCTGGATGGAGTTTGCATGTTCTCCCTGAGCATGCGTGGGTTCTCTCCGGGTACTCCGGATTCCTCCCACAGTCCAAAAACATGACTGTTAGGTTAATTGGCCTTAGACAGATGGAGATAGACACCAGCACCCCACGCAACCCCACTCGGGACAAGCGTGTCAGATAATGGATGGATTCTTTAGGGGGGTCTTTCAGAGCCGCACTTATCACCTGCAATTATCCGACTCACAAGACATCTGCTGTCATCGCTGCCTCCAATGAAGTCTGTGTTTGGGGAGACTTTAAAAGGGAAATGTTGTCGCTGCTTGCATTGCAACAACATCCTGTATGTTAAACTGAGAGACATTGGAATTATTTATAATAATATTTTGAAAATATTTTCTTTTCCCAAAGAGACTGTGAGCAGATTGAGCATTTGTCTGTTTGGATAAAAGAGAAATGCCGAATCAAGAAATATCACAAAGGACCAGCTAAAACACAGGGGGAGAGGGGTGACATGACCAAGGAGACTCCTTGAAATGACAAGAGGGCAAAGTTGACATGGTGTGTGTGGATGTTTGAGTGTCTTTTATACATGTGTGTCACAGCTCAATAGCTCCAGCCTGCATACTGTGGAAGCGGAAGGTTACAG